AAAATGCGCCAAAAAAGCCAAGTATGCGTAACCAAAAAACGAGACAGGAAAAAGTGCATCACCGGGCTCGAAAAGTATGCCACGAGGGCTAGACAACTCCCCTAAAATCTAAACGCAAAGCCAGCATTCTGAACTTCGGGCAACCACGAAAAACAAAAGGTCGAGACTTATAGATCTGCTTCTGACAAGGACCCTCCAGTAGTAGATCTCCGACTGCAGGCAGAACAAACATTTCCGCGACATACGAGCTAAACCGAGGAGACCCTTCACGCAAGAAAGGCCAAAAATGAGCGGAGGGCCATTCGGGGATGATCAATGTCCCGCGGCCAGAGCAAGACATGAGATGACGGACAGAATTGACGATTAGACTAACTGGGGGACATATCCAGTTGTTTTCGGCGCTCCAGTCTTGTGCCAATGCGTCGACCCCACTGCATCCGGGAGAGGCAAACTTCGAGTTAAACCGAGGGAGCTGAGCATTGTAATAGGTCGCGAAGCGGTGGAATGTATGAGGACCCCATTTAGCATCAAGGAGGCAGAAAACTGAAGGATTGATGCGCCAATCTTCCTTTTCAACGAATCGGCTAAGGAGATCAGCCTTCTCATTCTACGACCTGGGAATCCACCGTTCTTCAAGGGTGATCCCGTTTCAAAAACAAAAATCAAAAATGCTCATAGCAACAGACTGGAGGTGGACTTTGGAACTGCCAACAGAAACTATTCTCGCAGCGCCTTGATTGTCATTTAAAACCTTTACTCTCTTCTGCTGCAGCTTCTCCACAAAGGACAATAGAACATAATAAGTAGCTTTCAACACGCGGTACGTGGAGCTCTGACCAAGATCTTCAGACGTGAACATGCCGCTAGCCATTCCGCCGTCCAAGGAGGCCGAAAACCCGCCGAACGCGACATCACTTGCATCAGAGAAAATAACCGCCGACGAATCAGGGGGTGGACGAAGAGAATAGCCGTTAAACGAGTCGATATTGCTGTACCAAAATCTCAACTCTTCCAAAAGAGCCGGAGAAAAACGAAGGGTGTGGTCCCACCTTTTCCACCTTCCTTTCAGGAATATGAAAAAGACAGTAATAGTGTTAATTACGAAACCAGACTTATATACCACGGGTAGAGGCAAGGTAGAGTTATTCATTGATCAAGTGACTCCTTTCATTGCTCTAATTCAACTTTCCTTCACTCAGTGATAAATATAGTAGATTTACTATACAATACTCGCGATTAGTTAATTTGCCTTTACTTAGGAAAGTAGATTAACGACACGATTGAGTACATATGGAAATTGTCCTTACAATAGTAATGCTATGTAACGCAATACACTAAACACAACAATCGTGGCGCAGTGCACTATGGTTAAAAGCTGCGATGCATTCTGGTAAAAAGTGATGAATTCGAGAATTAGCATTTCTTATATTCTTTTCCAGTCCTGATAATGATGCTGCTCGCTCGCTACGCTCGCTGCATGCGCAACAATCAGACTATGCGTTATATTTCAGTTACTTCTTAATAATGAAGTGTACCCACTATAGTTTACGCTGAAAAGAAAACCTCATAAATTTGTTTCGATATCTCAACGCAACGAATATATCATCAGTTTGGATTNCCAAGGAGGCCGAAAACCCGCCGAACGCGACATCACTTGCATCAGAGAAAATAACCGCCGACGAATCAGGGGGTGGACGAAGAGAATAGCCGTTAAACGAGTCGATATTGCTGTACCAAAATCTCAACTCTTCCAAAAGAGCCGGAGAAAAACGAAGGGTGTGGTCCCACCTTTTCCACCTTCCTTTCAGGAATATGAAAAAGACAGTAATAGTGTTAATTACGAAACCAGACTTATATACCACGGGTAGAGGCAAGGTAGAGTTATTCATTGATCAAGTGACTCCTTTCATTGCTCTAATTCAACTTTCCTTCACTCAGTGATAAATATAGTAGATTTACTATACAATACTCGCGATTAGTTAATTTGCCTTTACTTAGGAAAGTAGATTAACGACACGATTGAGTACATATGGAAATTGTCCTTACAATAGTAATGCTATGTAACGCAATACACTAAACACAACAATCGTGGCGCAGTGCACTATGGTTAAAAGCTGCGATGCATTCTGGTAAAAAGTGATGAATTCGAGAATTAGCATTTCTTATAACAATGAGTACGCTGACCAATACCTCCATATATCACTAGCTCAGAATCAACAATAGACTTTTGAAAAATGTGATAACGTTCTACTCGTGTGATCACTGTTGGAGGTAAAACTTGGACAAGAAAGTCTTCAGACTTGTAGGTCGAACAATTTGCAGGCTTGGATATAAATTTTTTGTCTTTACTTTCTTGACCAGACCTTGTTAAGGTTACCATGTACCTTCCAGGGTGTCTCGCGTGCAAGCGATGTAGCGCGTCCGGTTTAAACTGTAGATATCTAAACCCCTATATCAAATTAAAGCTAATAGGACTGGCTATCAGACTATACTAAAACTTTAAAAAAAAAAATGAATTGTCGAATTTTTCACGACTTCTAAATGCGAGCGGCCGAATCACCTTTTAAAAGCTACAAGTCAAAGGGAATTTGTTCGATTAGTCTCAAATTTTGACAGTAGCTAGTTTTACATATAAACAACAAAAAATTATCTCCGATTTTTTTATTTCTAAATACTTTTTTTTCAAGACCGATTTTTGTACGATCGCTCTACATTTTTATAATCCTATTTCAAAAATGTTCTGTAACTCTTCACTGAAATTGAATATGGCAAATCGTAGACACGTTTTTTTAGCGCTTTGGCCGCAGGAACACATTAAGTAAGCGAAAAACAAAATTCGCTTTAACATGTAACGTTCAAAAGGTGATTCGGGCGTTCGCATTTAAAAGTCGTGAAAAATTCGACAATTAATTTTATAACATAGCGCGCGCGCTAGTCCTATGTAATTCCTATTGCGTCAACATGAACAAAATCTTTATATACGCACGGCCGTGCTCAATAAAATGACGTGTGCAGTTTCAAAATAGCTGCAAAATTTCTGTCGTGTGAGTTCCTTAAGTTAAAATTTCGGAAAACGATATTAATAAATCGAAGACCAACCAAACTTTCTTTGGCTTTCGACCTTCCCGCAAGTAGTCAAGCTAACAAGCACTACGAAAACGAAACATAACAGGCCCGTTTCCCGAATTTATCGGAACAGGAGCTGGAGAAAATTTTAGCTGAAAGACATCCAGCAAGAACTAAGAAGACTACAAATGGGTCTGTGGCGACTTTTAAAGGTAAACTTCTCTGTTGATGACGTTTTTTTGGTTACATTTGTTAACTCTACCGAAATCCATTTAATTACAAAATCAACTAAACAATCGCAGACGCCAACATTTTCGGGCAACTTTCATTTAAAAAAACATTACAAAACATCATTCAGCGCCCAAATTGTTTTCGTATGTTATAAAAGAATTGTTTCATGCTTTTAGCTGTGCGTATATCGAGTTATGGATGCACTTGGGAAGTTTGGAGAGCACTCAAGAAGCTAGAGTTACTCTCAGCTGCGCCTCGAGCAACTCTTACGCTTCTCTCGTGCTCTCCAAACTCCCCGCGTGCATCCATAGCTCGATAAACGCACGCTAAGCATGAAACAATTCTTAATTTTTTCAAAATTTTTGGTATAGTCTGATAGCCATTCCTAGAAGCTTTAATTTGATACCAGGGTTTAGATATCTACAGTTTAAACCGGACGCGTTATATCGCTTGCACGCGAGACACCCCTGAAGGTGCACGGTAACTTTAAGACGCTCTACTGATCCTTTTCCTGAGTCCGATGCTCAAAGTCGATTCGCAGACTAAGTTGGCTCAGCCATTGCGAGTGGCTTGAGGTGGCACTCAGATCTGATGGACTGGCTCGTCTGTACCGACTGGGAGAGCTGAAGAGGCAGAAAACCTGGAAATTGTCGTCTTATTAGCGGATAAGAAAGCCCTGGGTATTGTTTTGACATCCAATACATCCATCGACTTCAACCAGACCATCGAAGAATTTGCCTCAGCTGTACAACAGGGAGCGCTCCCGTTGAAAGTGGAGCGAGACTTATAGATCTGCTTCTGACAA